TGACCCCCCTGCCCCCAGACTCCCCCCAGACCCCCAAAAGGGCCCCCCCAGACCCCAAAGTGACCACCCAGACCCCCCGGTGTCATGGCAAGGGCCCAGGAGGAGGAAGAAGAGAAGAGGTCTGAGGGTGGCGAGGAAGGTGAGGATGAAGATGAGAAGGATGAAGATGAGGAGGGTGAGAAGGTGAGGATGAGAAGGATGAGGATGAAGAGGATGGTGATGATGATGAAGCTGAGGATCATGAGGATGAAGATGAAGACCATGAGGATGAGGACGGTGAGGATGAGGGTGTTGAGGATGAGGAGGGTGAGGAAGGTGAGGATGAGGGTGTTGAGGATGAGGAGGGTGAGGAGGAGGAGGATGGGGATGGTGACAATGAGGACGCAGCATGGTGAGGATGAGGAGCGCGAGGATGAAGATGAGAATGGTGAGGATGAGGAGGATGGTGAGGATGAGGACCCTGGGATGGGAGAGGATGAGGAGGCTGAGGATGAGGATGGCCACAACGACACCGAGAGTAGTGAGGCTGAGGATGATGAAGATGAGGATGATGAAGATGGTGAGAAAGGTGAGGATGAGAACCCTGGGATGAGAGAGGATGAGAAAAGTGAGGATGAGGATGATGAAGATGAGGATGATCAAGATGAGGATGATGAAGGTGAGAGTGATGAAGATGGTGAGAAAGGGGAGGATGAGAACCCTGGGATGAGAGCGGATGAGAAAAGTGAGGATGTGGATGATGAAGATGACGATGATGAAGATGAGAGTGAGGAAGATGGTGAGAAAGGGGAGGATGAGAACCCTGGGATGAGAGCGGATGAGAAAAGTGAGGATGTGGATGATGAAGATGACGATGATGAAGATGAGAGTGAGGAAGATGGTGAGAAAGGGGAGGATGAGAACCCTGGGATGAGAGCGGATGAGAAAAGTGAGGATGTGGATGATGAAGATGACGATGATGAAGATGAGAGTGAGGAAGATGGTGAGAAAGGGGAGGATGAGAACCCTGGGATGAGAGCGGATGAGAAAAGTGAGGATGTGGATGATGAAGATGACGATGATGAAGATGAGAGTGAGGAAGATGGTGAGAAAGGGGAGGATGAGAACCCTGGGATGAGAGCGGATGAGAAAAGTGAGGATGTGGATGATGAAGATGACGATGATGAAGATGAGAGTGAGGAAGATGGTGAGAAAGGGGAGGATGAGAACCCTGGGATGAGAGCGGATGAGAAAAGTGAGGATGTGGATGATGAAGATGACGATGATGAAGATGAGAGTGAGGAAGATGGTGAGAAAGGGGAGGATGAGAACCCTGGGATGAGAGCGGATGAGAAAAGTGAGGATGTGGATGATGAAGATGACGATGATGAAGATGAGAGTGAGGAAGATGGTGAGAAAGGGGAGGATGAGAACCCTGGGATGAGAGCGGATGAGAAAAGTGAGGATGTGGATGATGAAGATGACGATGATGAAGATGAGAGTGAGGAAGATGGTGAGAAAGGGGAGGATGAGAACCCTGGGATGAGAGCGGATGAGAAAAGTGAGGATGTGGATGATGAAGATGACGATGATGAAGATGAGGATGATGAAGATGAGAGTGATGAAGATGGTGAGAAAGGTGAGGATGAGGACCCTGGGATGGGAGAGGATGAGGAGGATGAGGACGAGGATGATGACAACGACACCAAGAGTGGTGAGGGTGAGGATGGTGAGGCTGAAGACCACAGGGATGAGGATGGTGAGGCCAAGGATGATAATGAGGGTGAGGATGGTGAAGCCAAGGACGAGGGTGAGGATGAGGATGGTGAGGCCAAGGATGATGATGAGGATGAGGATGAGAACAACGAGGACACCGAGGATGAGGACGGCCACCACGAGGACACCGAGAACACGGAAGACGACCGCGAGCGCGGTGAGGATGAGGATGGTGAGGCTGAGGACCATAAGGAGGAGGATGATGAGGCCAAGGATGAGGGTGAGGATGAGGATGGTGAGGCCAAGGATGAGGATGAGAACAACGAGGACACCGAGGATGAGGACGGCCACCACGAGGACACCGAGAACACGGAAGACGACCGCGAGCGCGGTGAGGATGAGGAGGACGAAGGACACCACCCCCACCACCGCTCCCTACCTCTCCCTCCTCTCCGGGCCGGAACTGCGGCAGCGTCTCCAGGCAGAACACCACGATGGACACCAGGATGACCAAGACGGACAGCAGGGCCACCACGCGGGCGGCGGGCGAGCTCTCGGGGTGCTCGCACAACAACCACGCCCGGCGCCTCAAACCCCCGCGCGGCAACGCCGGCGGCTCCTCCACCGTGAAACCTTCGGCCTCGCGCAGCCGCTCCTCCGCTTCCTCCCCGAGCTGGTAGAACCTCATCTCCTCCAAGAAGACGTCCAGGGGGACGTCGGGGGGTCTGCGCAGCCGCCCCCCGGACTGGTAGTAGTAGAGCACGGCCCCGAAGGCGCCGCGGTGGCGGTCGAAGAAGTACTCGCGGCGCTGGGGGTCGAAGAAGCGGCGCCGGCGCCGGGGGTCCCCCAGGAGGGTGTCGGGGAAGCGCCGCAGCGTCCGCACCAAGGTCTCGAAGCGCCGGCCGGCCACGTTGATGGCCACGCGCTCGCAGCAGCCCCGCGGCTCCCCCATGCCCGCGGAGCCCCCGGGACGGGGCACGGGCGGGGCCGAGGGCACCGAGGGCAGCCTGGGGGTTTTGGGGGGTACCCCGGGGGTCCTGGGGGGGCTCAGAGGGGAGCGGGGAGCTTTTGGTGGTTCTGTGGAGGGACCTTCAACGTTGGGGAGATCACAAAACTCTTGAGGGGACCCCGAAAATATTTGGGGTCCCAGTGGGACTCTGAGGACTCAGGGGAACCCTAAAATATTGGGGGACCCAATGTTGGAGGACCCCAAACTTTTGGGGTTCCCACACTGGGTCTACGTTGGAGGAACCTCAAGGTCCTTCAGCCCTGGGGACAACCCAAAATCCTTGAGGGGACCCCAAAAATATTTGGGGTCCTAATGAGACCTCAAAAACTTGGGGGAACCCTAAAATATTGGGGGACCCAGTGTTGGAGGACCCCAAACTTTTGGGGGTCACTTGCTGGGTGGAACATCGGAGGCTTGGAGGAACCTCAAGGTCCTTCAGCACTGGGGACACCCCAAAACTCTTGAGGGGACCCCGAAAATATTTGGGGTCCTAATGGGATCCTAAAGATTTGGGGGACCCCTAAACTCTTGGTGTCCCCCTGTGTCACTGGGTCCCCCCAAAGCTGTCGCTGGTGTCCCCAAGCCACCTGACCCCTGTCACCGAGTGTCCCCTGTCCCCCAGACCCCGCCCCCCCCCCCCGAATGTCCCCCCGTGTCACCCGGATGTCCCCAAGCCACCTGACCCCTGTCACCGGGTGTCCCCCGCTTGTCACGGGGTGTCCCCCGCTTGTCACCGGGTGTCCCCCGCTTGTCACCGGTTGTCCCCGACCCTCCTGACCCTGTCACCCGTGGGTTCCCCGGTTCTCCTGCCCTCTGTCGCCAGGGTGTCCCGTGTCACCGGGGGGTCCCCGGCACCTGTCCCCGGCCTGTCCCCTGTCACTGGGTGTCCCCAAACCCCGGCCCTGCTGTCCCCAACCCTCCTGACCCTGCCACCAGCGGCTCCGCTGGCACCCGGTGACCCCAACCCCTGTCACCGTGGGGGAGGGGGTCCCTAACCCCTGTCCCCAACCTGTCCCCAACCTGTCCCCAACCTGTCCCCAACCTGTCCCCG